TCGATATACATAGTATATACTGACAGACTCGGAGATGCGCATCGATATACATAGTATACACAGGCAGAAATGCGCATAGATATCAATAGTATACACTGACAGAAATGCGCATCGATATCCATAGTATACACTGACAGAAATGCGCATAGATATCAATAGTATACACTGACAGAAATGCGCATCGATATCCATAGTATACACTGACAGACTCGGAGATGCGCATCGATATCCATAGTATACACTGACAGAAATGCGCATCGATATCCATAGTATACACTGACAGACTCGGAGATGCGCATCGATATACATAGTATACACTGACAGACTCGGAGATGCGCATCGATATACATAGTATACTCTTGCAGAGAAATGCATCGATATCCATAGTATACACTGACAGACTCGGAGATGCGCATCGATATCCATAGTATACGCTGACAGAAATGCGCATCGATATTCATAGTATACACTGACAGACTCGGATATGCGCATCGATATCCATAGTATACCCTGACAGACTCGGAGATGCGCATCGATATCCATAGTATATACTGACAGAAATGCGCATCGATATTCATAGTATACACTGACAGACTCGGATATGCGCATCGATATCCATAGTATACACAGGCATAAATGCGCGTCGATATACATAGTATACTCTTGCAGAGAAGTGCATAGATACCCATAGTATACACAGACAGAAATACGCATCGATATACATAGTCAGAGACATCGACTGGTAGAGATTTGTCCAGGGCTGAGCGAACATTTTAGTAAAAGACCAAATATGAAAGGTGATTTCAACTGATGGGCTATCATGATCAAAGATCACACAGATCCCCTCATCATGGTACAGTTCCATGACCCAGGCAATTGTGCTAGTAATCCACGTTGATACACGGTTGAGGTATAAAGTACATTGTAAAATAATAACATTGTTTGTTATTGATTTATAATGCCATACCTTACCTTCCAGGTTCGGGGAGTTAATTTCGGTTGATTTTATTGTCGTACAGTGAAATGAAATTCAACGCGACACCATATATGGGGAGAAAGAAATGATTCTTCTACCTGGTTTAGTACCGCATATCCTGTCTTTTGATATAGCCCGGTTTGTGCTGTCAGTTTTATAGCACCTCTTTCTAAGATCACGGTTTAACTCTGTACGTAGTCAGTACGTAGAGTAGAACTGTTGTTTTCACACGCGAAAAGAGAACAACGTTTGCAGAATCATGATAGATTCAATCATTTCGATTTGACTAGAAAAAAAAAAGTTTTCATAGAAATACTCGTGACCAAATCATGTCTTCTCTTCCTAAAACTGCTCACACTTTCTTGTTTGACATATGTTTCCGATTCTACTTTCATCTAGACTCATATGTCAGCCACTAGTAACGGCTTCTCTATTAGTTGACGTCACGACGTGTATACTTATATATATATTGCGTCTGACAGGCTTCTTTGTGACGCCAGGCTAGAGCGTATTTTTATAATGCAGATAAACGTGGCGACTTATAATAAGGGGAAAAGAACGACTAGGTATACATATCTTCACCGGAAATATAATATTTGGGGTTGGAAAAGGTTAGATATGCGTTCATAGGCTAAATGCATTGTGAAAAAGTCGCATATATTGGAACCGGTAGTACGTCATGATCTGCCCGTGATACAGTGAATGGATGATATCATGAGTGAGGTGAGCGCCATGTAATTAATAAATGGACGCAAAAGGCACATGCTTCGACTGAACATGATCGTGCTATTGTCACCTTTGACGTTGTATAGGCGGAAACAATCGAACATGATATATATAAGTGTCTCAGGCCAGATAGATTTGGATCAAACAATCGCGATCGTACCATCACATTAAAAGCTAAGCAAGGAATCTAAATAAAGAACCATAAAAGAGACCCCGATTTGAAAAGAATCCATGTTGGGTACAATTAAAAGATGGTACGGCATCGAGTCTTCATGGGGACCACGTAAACTGTGACGTGAGCAGAACTTAATTGAGCCAATTACTACAGTTATGAATCAGTCTTCATTGTCGTCATCATCCCCATATCAAATGAAGCGATATCAACACACCATAAAGTTAATGGCCACGACACGTTTGCTT